ATATTTGCAGAGTACTATTTTCTCTGACAGTGCACTCTAATTCAAGACATTGAGTTCAATTAAAAATACAGAGAACCAACAAATCCCTTTGGATACTTAACAAATCTTTAATGATAGAAAAGCAACAAACCCAGAATTTATAATTCTGATCATATGTTACTTTGGGAGGGGATTATACCTTATAAAACTTATTGAAATGGCTGTATTGGTTTTTTTTTCTTCTTTGCTTAACCTGTTTTCTCTTTGCACTCCCCTCAACAGAATCTATTAAATGGGCCTGAGCAGGTTCCCATTAGCTGTGGTTAGTTTAATTTCTGGTTCTCATGCACAAAGCTGGTGTGTGTAGGTTCCCAATCCTGGTAAGAAAATGCCACAAAGTCATTTTTGCCATTGCTTAATTAAAACAAAATTGCAGACTGCAATTTACACAGCAGAATTTCAGACAATCTTTTAAGTCATGTGGACAAATTTCTTCACTCTATAATGCTTTGTCAAAGATCATTTTCCCATGTCTTCTGAAAGTTCACAAGGTGAAAGGTGATGAAATATTTTAGATATTATTTTCCTTCTCTCCCAACCAAAAATAGTGTGTACCCTGTCTCAACTTTTGGGGTAAAAAGGAGAAAAGATAATACCATCAGTATTCAAATTCCAGAACTCATGTCTGCCCTGAGGGTTAACAATCATATGTTAACCCTCAGGGCAGACATGAGTAGGCCCATCATATGTAGTAAATTGGGAACCTCTAGTACCTGTCCCCCATCCTGCTGGCAAACACTACACTGAGAACAAGCTGAGTTGGGATCTTCTATCTTATATCCAAATTAAGCAAAACTCTTTTTAGGTTTCAGAAACTTTCAACTTGGCTTTCAAAATGGCAAGAGGAGGAATTAGATCCACATAATCATGGGGCAGATCAGAACTTCAGGTGTAGCTAAATCCATCACAAAAACTTCTTTCCCGCTTTATGGTAGTGTTTACTTGAGTCCTGACTTTGATCTCAAAATAGGTCTTGTGTATAGAAAAGATGAGAAACAGTACTAACTTGCATTTCATACACTAAGGAATCCCAACAGAAAGAAAATACTTCTTATTTGATGATTCCAGAAAGAAACCTGGGCCTGTGATTGGTCTGGCTTGGGTCAGGTTTGCATCCACAATCAGTCACTGAAATCCAGAGAGAGAATGCTCTGATGTGCCAGGCTTTGGTTTTGTCTTAGCTCAGACTCCCCCAGAAGCAGATCCTGAGCCAAGGATTTCAATGAAAACAGTTTATGAAATTTGCAAGGAACCTAGGTGGGTGACAGGGAAGTCAGCCAATAAAGGAGGTTAAGTAAGATACCCAAGAGAAATTGTAACTTAATATTGTAGGAATGTTCTCTGGCAAAAAATGTGTAAGAATTCCCCATCAAAGAATAAGGTATTTGGGATGGATCTGGGATATCTGTACCCCCATATCCACTAGTTATTAGTTACAGACTAATCCAGGGGACTTTTTCCTCCCAGGTACTTTCCATCTGTCTGTGCGTGGGCACAGTCGATTTCATCAACACAAAGGCAGTTCTCCAACAGTTATGCTATTGACTGTTTGGAGCCAGAATTATTCAACTGAAAATAGAGAGGGGATCTGCAAGGATATAAGCAGACCACCAACAGAGTTGCTATAGATCCCTTGCTGAAGGGATGCAGAATGTGTTCGCTTCATATATACTACATCTAATAAGTGGAGAAGGGGTGTGCTCACATAGGAAAACCAAAAAAATGTGGGAAGATGCTCATCTAAGTAATTGAAACTAGAATTGTACTTGTTCTATGTAAATCTTGCAATACAGAGACTGGTGTCTTAGGGCTGAATGGAGATTAAAAAATAGAAACTAAGCTTAAGCCCAAAAAGGCTATGAATCATTACTCTTAGCACTTGTCCTGAGTTCATGGAAGTCTATCCAGTGTCATCAAGGACATGAAGATGGAACTGGTGCCCTCATAAGCCGCCATTGCTCTGGTAATACCTGGTCAAGATAATAGAATTATGTGACAAATGGAGTTTAGGAGATATTTAATACAGAACAAATACATCTGAAATAATTTAAAGGGAGTTATGGAAAAGGCATAAAGACCCAAAGTACAAATACCTATGGAGAGAACCCTGTTGGCAAAAAGAAAGTGGCTCTTAGGTGATCCTAATGCCTTTGTTTTGCTGTTATCAGCATTATTTGGTGATGAGCGTATTTGATGTTTGGTAGTTTATTCCTTAAAAACATGTGTTGCCAACATCTCTTCCAAGTGAGGATCATTGCCCAAGGAGCACTTTATAAGCAGCAGTGAAACATTTGCAACCAAGCAGGCATTAATGAAGTCTGGGGTAATTTCTACTGTGGTGAGTAGAATAATGCCAAATCTGCTAGCTGTCTGGATTTCTGGCTGCCTAATAAATCTTTCCTTTGTGTAGCTTGTGAATGTTGGCTCATGATCTTCTTACATCAGACAGGCTCTGAAGGGGCTCACTACCATTGACCCTGGCATCTCTACATTCTAGCCCCCAATAAATCAGAGTAGGCTTTTTCATCATTATTAACTGAATTATCCAGTAATGCTCAACTAGTATATTTCTACGTCTTTCTTGTGTTTGTGTATGTGGGTATACAGGTTTGTTTGACTTCTGTCTTTGAAGCTTTTAGGAGCTTAAAGTGTTTTTAGATTCTTAGAAACTGTTGGAGGCACAGAGAGGATACTCTCCCAGTAGTACAGTTCCAATGAAGTATCCCTTCTCAAACTCTTCCAGCTCATTTTCTAATTCAAAGTCCCAGATATGTTCTACTCTACTTTTGACATCTGTCCCTAGCTAATTTTTCTAGTAAACAGTTTTTCACTAGAAGGAAAAGTGGGAATTTAGTTTTTCACTCGAAGAAAATGGGTAAACAGTATTCTGTATACTTTCATTTTACAGCCCACAAGTACTCTGAGCCTTGAGTAAAACTATGGAGTGAAGTGAGCCATACGCTATTCACTGGGAAAAATTCCATCTATAAAATGCGACTTCCTTTGTGATAGCAACCTGGCATGACTGATGTAGGGAAATATACATCACAGTGTTCATGCACTTATGACTGCATATGTCTGTCATGATGAAAGTAAAAGGGGAAACAAAACAGAAGTGATTCAGTGGTAACCCTGATGAATGGTATATTTAGACTCCTTCTCCAAGGGAACAGTCTTTTCAATGAAAGACTAAAGACCTTTGCAGAAACATTTGGTTTGTTGCTCATAACCATCTTCAAAGACCAAACACTTGCCTTCTACTAGTGATGATTCACCTTACATACTGACAAACTATTATATACACATTTGTCATTGCTATTTTTTGAGACCTTGGAGATGAGTTAAAGACTCAGCAAAGCCTTAAATCCAAAGGAATTTGGTTAGTTCCACTCAACAGGGAATCCTTAAAACATAGAGTTTGTTGTTCTTTAATCAAAGGCCTGTTTCCCCCTTAAGAAGTCATTTCTTGGATAAGTAAAATGTGCTAGAACTCAATGGTAGATTTCTCCAGGAGTGGCCAACAGGAAAATGTCTGAATCCAAAAAGGTGCCTAATAGCGGCCAGTTCTAGGCAAAGAAAAAAGGAAAAGAAAAACCCCTCCCTTAAGCCATTCCAAACTTGGCTTGGGAAGAATATGGAAAAGGGGAAAGAAAATGTTTGGGTGTTTTTCTTCTTTTTTATGTGTTCTGTCTTGTTGGCATCTTATTGCCAGAAGATATTGGAAAGCCAACAACGTGCAATGTGGAACTTTAAAAATAAATCCTGTCTTGGAGCAATCCAAGCTGCTAGTCATGAAAATGAGACTTTCCCAGTGTGCCAGCACAAATCTGAAATCAAGCCTCCCAAGTGTTCATATTAAATATTAGAGTGATGAGAAAAAGAACAGACAGAAGTGACTACTATGATGGCAGAAGACTGGGTAGACAAAAAATAAGCAGAGAAAATGGGGAAAAGGCTGAAAACTGCACAATGTTCAAGTTATCAGTTCAGTGAAAGATGGGTGGTGTGAAGAGGAGAGCACATCACTGGAAGCTCTAAACAAAGCTACTTATTTCTGTAGGAAAAAAAAAAAAACAGTCGCACAAGGTTTAGGGAACCTCATTTTTAGTGTGTAATTTTCCTTAGGGTACTTCCTCTCTCTGTAATCATGAGTCTCTAAGCTTTTGCTCAATCCATAATAAACCACCTCTCTTTTGCAATATTTATCTTCTTTTTCTGTTGAGATGTCATTTGTACAATGAGAATGATTTACAGAATTAGACCACTGAGCACATTGTTCTTTTTTCACTAGCCAAGTAGAACAGAACTTACACAATGCTATTTCCAATATACTCTCATGGAAAAAAATCTTGCCATTAAAAGCCAAAAAGTGGGGCCTCCCTGGTGGTACAAGGGGTTAAGCACTGCACTACGAAGCAATCCGCAGCTTCTGCAGCACGAGTTCGATCCCCAGCCAGGGAGCAACCCACATGGTGCAGCAGACCTCTTCTGACTCGCCTCCTGCTCCCCTCAGCAGTGTACTTTGGTCAATCTGCCTGTTCTGTTCCCCACTCTGTATCTGGTGAATCGTCTCACCCCCTGCATCTCAGGCCTGTACCCCAACCCTTGTATGCATAAATAAATCTAAAAAAAAAAGCCAAAAAGAGATGAATATAAATGCCAATATACACCCAAGAAAAACTTTTCAATATCCAATTTGATTGCCTTTGGTCTAGGATCCTTGTGAGTGGTAGTAGTTGGACGGGAGTTGATCACAAGAATGAGGAAGACAGAATAAATGGGAATAGGAAATCAATACATATGCTGGGCCTAATAGAATTCCTGTAAACCCAATTCTTTGGAAAAGCTACTTAGAACTCCACTTTGTTGGGAAAATAAAATACTGGAAAGTCTGTGAAAGTCCAATCAAAGTTCAGTCACATTCAAGGAATATTGACAGCAGAAAGGAAAATCTGGAGAAGAAAGAAAACATTATGTATAAAACAACATTGCAACATAAATAAAAAGATTTGGGGGGGTAAACTTAATGAAGTTAGAAAGTTGTCCCTAAATATCAAGGAAAAACTACTTACATAATGATGATTTATACCATCGTAAGGAATAATAATGTTGGTTTAGTAACTTTTAGTAATAATACAGATATTTTGAATGCAGTCCCTGCATTCTGGGAGTTTAAAGTTTATTGGTGAAGCTACAAAGTCAAAAAAATCACAGGAACAAAGTTTAGTTGATTGTGGCAAGTATTACCAAAAGAGTTACTCCGCATAGGACCTCTGTTTCATGGAAGATCTGACTAGACACTTCAGTGAACTTAAGGTCCTTAATTCTAGTGAACATACTTCAGACTTTCTTTTGCTTTGTTTCTTCTCAGCATTAGACAGCAATGGCCACTGCCTTCTAGAAGCATTCTCTTTAGTCCCAGTGGCACAATGTGAACTCAGTTTTCCTCTTACTCTTCTTATGTCTCAGTCCCTCTCTCTTCCACTTGATTTACGTACTTTATTTTGCTGTTAAATGTTGGAGTTCTTTGAAGTTCGACATTAGACCCTCTTCTTTTTTCTGTTTTTCTTCTCAGATGATAACATCTTGGCTCATTCTTCCTCTGCCTAAAAAAACAATCATAGATTTTTAGCCTATCAGATTTCTCTGGACTCTACCTGGATTTCCCAGAGACCCACTCAAATGCATAATGTCTAAAACAAAACTCATACTCCCTAAGCTAATTTTTATCAAGTATTCTCTACCTCAACTTCCAACTACTATTCAAAGTCATGTGTTTAGAAGTAATCCTTGACATTGCTTTTTCATGAATTGTAAATACCCAATTAATCACTAAATACTGATATTTTACAACCTATACATTTTTGACATATGTGTATTTCTCCCTATCACCTCAAGCATATTCTTTGTTTCAGTCTACCTCTTTCTAGGACAAAGTGAATTGACTTTTACTTGGTCTCTACCTATGCTAATACTTTTGCATTATTCTCACGTCTTCAGTCCATCCACAATTGTCCTATAAATTATACTTTATTTTAGAACATTTTAACAAATTCTCTTCTTATAAGACAATGAACAAACTTATGCCTACAATACTCTGCATGATCTAATCATCACTTGACTATAGTATATTTATAAATTGTTTCAAATATCATAGGAAAATAAAATTCAGAATGTCATTGGATATTTTGTTTGCATACAACTTTATAAAATATTAGACATTTAAAAAATCCTGGATGAATATGTGAAATTTTTATTTCATGCCAAACTCTTCTTAGCCTATACCCATTCAGAAGCCTCTGTATTTTTACTTCTCCCAAGATTGAAAACTAAAAAATACCATTTGACTACATTGATTCAACAAAGCTGCAGCATGTCTTCTTTGAAGTAGTCATGAACCAAGTTAATAAGATGAATTTTGAAAGGTCTGTAATTATGTAGTTTTATAGAACATAGTAACGGAGCTTATTTAACTGTCTGCTGTGCAAATATGCATGAATACAACTGTAATGACCTAATATTTACTTAGAATGTAATAGGTCCTTGAGGGGTTGTAGGTGAGAACCAAGAGGAGGAAAGGGGTGCCTTTTTGCCAATAGGTATTTGAGATAAATGGAGAAAATAATACCTTTTGAATTATTTATTAGTGAATTAGGGGCAATATAGAAAACACCCAGATCATTATTCCACCATGCATTACGTTTAATGTAAAAATTTGAATTCTATATATATCATATTTCCACCTTTTTATTTCAATGTGTCTATGTTGATTATTCAAACACCTGTTAGCTTGACACCAAACTAACCTGTGATCATCCATCTCTATGCATAAATCCATTCCAGAGAAAAATTGCTAAACAACCAAAAGCCACACAGAATTGGACTTGGCAAAATTGGGCCAATGGCATTTGAGAAGGCCTATTTGATTTCCTGGGTATGAAAATTAAACATGAAGATTCCCTTGACATTTGGAACAGGAAACCATGAAAAAAATTACAAAACCAATCAAAGAGTATACACTCAGAATGTTCATTAGCAAAGTTATTAGTCAATTATCATTAGCTTTGGAAACTACTTACCATGTCAACACGTGCTATATCCACTTAAATTTGCAGTACCATAAAGCACAACCCTAAAAGAAATATATTACAGATAGTGCCATTTAGAAATGTAGTTTTTCTTAGTTTATTCTTTTATTTCAATATTATTGGAAAATATAAGAAACATTTATAAATGATTTTAATTTTGTTCTTATACAAAATATGAAGTATTATATTCTGTCTACAAGTATCATCTGAAAATTATCATATTAATAGTTTGTTAGGATTCAGATAAATTCCTATATCTGTTCCTTAAAATACATACACACACAGATATATGTACATACAATGTACAGCTTAATGATTTACACCTTTCTATGTTTCTTCCTTAAAAAGGACATACTAAGTGAAATAGGTCAGCAGTGAGAAAGACAAATATTTCAAGATATCACTCATATGTGGAATATAGAGAAACAAAACAAAAGGACAGGTGAGCTAAATCAAAAGTAACTCTAGAAATATAATTGCAGAATTGAGACTACCAGAGGGGGAGTATAGAGGTTAGGGAAAAATGAGGGGCCCAATAAACTGTGGTGAAAGATTACTGGTGCTTTGGTGGTAGGTGTTTTGTGCCAACATATATATGAAGAGGTATGAACTTAAATCTGTAAATCATGTAATCATATACATGGTTGTAAATCAGTATTACCTTAGTAACAATGATATATATCATATATATATATTAATATACACATAATATATATGGTATCCTTCCAGGACATAGCATATGGTGATACTTCATATTAATGACTGAATAGAATTCCATAATATGACCCATGGTGTGCTGATAAACTGATTGTGTTGAATCTGAAAGATCATCTCCAAGATTAGTGATTTTCTTCTGGGTTGAAAATTGGCATATTCTTCTGTATTAGGTCTTAGTTTTGTATCTCTGGAATCTACCATGGGAAGATACAGGATTAGGAATTTTGTGTTCCTATAGATGTATTGTGTTGGTAGGCTTTTGCACTATATGATCTTGGACAAGATACCCAAAGCTCCTGTGCTTCCCTTCACTATTGTGGAAGAAGAGTGGGATATGGCCACCATATCTTCTCTGAAACCCTCAGAGTCATTTGATTTGGAATTCAAAATTTTCCCAGATATAATAATGGCAATCAGTGTACTTTGTGTCCCTTATGTATAACATTACTTGTGGGAACTGGTGCAGTTAATTTTAGTAAAACCCATTACTAATTCTTTATTAAGACATTTGAATGTTGGGCCTTCCCTGGTGGCGCAGTGGTTGAGTGCTGGGCTGCGAAGCTGCCCACAGCCTCTGCAGTGCTGGTTCGATCCCAGCCACCAGCGAGGGTCCCACATGGCGCTCAGAACTCTCCTGTCGTGCCTGCTGTTCCCCTCAGCAGTGTATTTCGTCCGTTTGCCTGTTCTGTTCCCCATTCTGGCTCTGGTGAATTCTCTCACCCTCTTGTGCTTCTGACTATACCCAGTGCTTGCATAAATAAATAAATAAATAAATAAATAAATAAATAAATAAATAAAATAAATAAATCTTAAAAAAAAAAAAAAAACATTTGAATGTTGACATCTCACAGGATCCAGATTGAGGCAAGATGGCAGCCTTGTGGTGACCAGTTGTCAAGGGATAAAAATAGGTTATTGATTTACTATGGCATTAGCAGCATTGAATGGTCCATAGCAAATAGAACTACACTGTCCAATTCAAAATGTAGCTTTAATCCCACCACCAGATCCTGTGCATAATAATGAAGCAGCACATGATCAAGTGCTGAAAACCACATTCGAAGAAAAAGGTGAACACGTTGAACAAAGACCCATGATAGAATAACTTAGCAAAATGTTCCATACTACTAAGCACTTGTGGACAGTATCATAGATGTCATAATAAACTGGACCCTCCAAAAAACAGATATCAAAGTTTTCAAGAGTCAAAGATAATTGTTATCTTGTGTCTCATCTTCCATTTAGAAAATGCAATCTGGTGTATTAGTTAATATATTGTAAAAAAAAAAAATTCAAGTGCCTTTCATTTAAAAACAAAATAAATTTGAATATTTCTATGAATTAAAATACAGTAAGTCTATAAATGAACCTATAAATGTACAGATCAGGTTTTCCTACAAATGAATTTTTAAAAAATGATTGTCACATATAAGAAATGACAGAATTACACTTCTGTGGCAGATTGCTGTGAGATTTTTCAGTTAAACTCTGAAAAATTCCATAGTAGGTGCTCTCTTAGTGACCATTCACTTTCTTGTTTTTCACTATTGTGACCTTTAGTTAGATTTCAGAATTTACACATGCATAGTTTGAAATTTCAGTTTCACCAGTTGCTCTATATTATAAAAAATGTGCTAGACATGACCTAATTTCCTGATTTGAGTACAGATATAAAACACACATGATGTGCAGTGGTCACTCACAGCTATTTACTTCTTTTTAGAGCTGCCCTTGATCAGACAGGAGCCATCTTCATTGGGAGGCCAGATCTTGCTCGCCATGGAGGGCTAACCCATAGCCAACAACTAATTCAGAGGATATAAAACCTGGGCCCTTGCCTCAAATTGAGATCAGTTTGGTCTCAAATTCCATTCAGGCACCAGGGTTCCCAATGGGATAAGGTTGAAGGCCTGAACCCACTTTCTGGCTTTATGCCTCTTCTTGCCCTCTGCTTTCCTCACTACCTTACATCATTCACATGAGAATACATCCTCATTACCTCAACTGCACCCAATCTCTGTCTCAAGCTCTACCTCTAGAGAACCCAACACAGGACAACATTCAATGTAATTTATGTTTTGCTCATGAGCACACTAATTTAAGTACAGAGATCCTTACGCATTCACTTGTTTTACTGTTGTAGTAAAGTGTATTAGAAAAGACCCTGGCCTCTAGATCTGTCTGTCTAAGTCTATTAGCCTGGTTATCCAAACCTCAACATCCACTGTTGGAAAATGATATGTATCACGCAAGCATGATTGAAAGGTATGAAATGCCTTACAATAACTGACAGAGCACACACAAAAGGACTCTTTGCTGACATTCAACTGTATAAACATATGTCAGTAATCAAGTACTTTTCTCCTTACTGATAGAACATGGTCCTGAACTTTAGTGAGATGAGAAGCATAGGATTGTCCCTTATAGATGCTTCTTGTTGCCACACTGCCTCTGTTCAGGGTAGAAGGATCTTCTCAATCTTGAGCGTCTGTCATGGACCTGCACCTTTCAGTCTATAAATGTTTTGCAGAAGTCACACTCTTGTGATTTCCCAGCCTTATCTTAAAGCCAAACTCTTGCCATGTACCTGAAGATCTCTGTTCATTATAAAAGGAGGCAAAGAAGTCAGCCACACCACCTCAGAAGGGACACAGAAGCAGCTGTGTTTGAGTCTTGGCTCAGCCAGTTCTTAAAATCTCAGCTGGAAGGATCTCAAGACAGCATGAACAGCACAATCACACCAGCCTGCTCCAGGAGACCACTTTTCCTCTTGAGCTTTCTTTTTCTTTCCTTAATTTATTTTGCCAAGATTTACATTGCTTTTTATTTTATTTTTTTTTATAGAGGCATGTTTTATTTATTTATTTATTTGTTTGTTTGTTTGTTTGTTTATACATGCACTGGGTACAGTCAGAAGCACGGGAGGGTGAGAGAATTCACCAGAGCCAGAGCGGGGAGCAGAGCAGGCAGAAGGACCGAAGTACACTGCTGAGGGGAGCAGCGGGCGGCAGGAGAGGTCTGCGCCATGTGGGACCCTCCTCTGGTGGCCGGGGAGCAGCCAGGGATTGAACCGGTGCCGCAGAGGCCGCGGGCAGATTCGCAACCCAGCACTCAACCGCTGCACCACCAGGGAGGCCCTACATTGCTTTTTAAACTCTAAGATAGTAGTCAAGCTTTTATTAATTAACATTAGAAGCTACAAAGATGTGTGTTCTTACTCCAGTCAGAATAATGAGTTAGATATTACTGTTCATCTTTCTTGATGGAAACATAAAGAGATGTCAAGAATAAATTTCTATATAGAAAGTACAGTAACTAATAAGGAAGAAACTTATAACTACTCCTATTTATTGGGTATATTTATATATCCTTTTTCTCAGAACAATCCTGCAAAGATGATATCATTAATCCCATTTTTGCATGAATAACTGGAATCTAGGGAATTTTACCAAATTATACACTAGTAAGTAGAGAGATCACTGTTTGGACCCAGATCTGTTTTCTCAGGTGCCACACTGTCTATATGTTCTTACATATTTGCAAAATATTGACTAAATCCCCAAATATAGGCATTTTCTACCTTTCTTTTCTGTGGGCTAGCTTGAATCAGAAGGTCAAGGAAATAGAACTTTTTTAGCTTGTGAAAGAGATAAGCAAAAATTCAAATAATGCTTATAATTATTTTCATATTTTTATGAAGAATCAATAATAATGTGTAAATTATAATAAACAAATTTAATTAGCTAGGGTTGATTTACTTGAATCAGATTGCTCATTAGAAATAGATCATTGTTAGAGTGATAGTTAGATGATACCTTTCAGAAACTAATTGGATACTCCCAATTTTGCCAGCCACACAACCATAATACTGATCAATTTTGCAATTTATGACAAACAACATCATTGTATAAAATGAAGACTGAAACTTAGCATAAATGAAATTTTCATTTTGAGTACTACATGAACATCAAAAACTTCTCTTTGTGGATTTTTAAGAGGTCAAGCAACAACACAATGTGTAACTTTACAGAACTGGGTAATTTGTTGAAATTTTAAAAGATGTCTACCTACATTGAGATGTTTGATTCCTAACTACTGTGTCATCTGCCTCCTCTAATTTTAATTTTGGTGAAAAGAAAAAAATAAACTTCAAAATCCAAATCCCACAGCTCTAACATGAAATAAATATCCATGAAGTCATCTTTTAGTGTGTTAGATTGGAAAAATAGGGTGGGGACTATGTCTGTTGCCATTATATTCATCATTAGATTTTATGGAATTTCACTACATGGGACTTTGAATAGATGAGAAGCTCCCAGAATTGAAT